TTCATAGACTAATGTATTTAATTCTCTTTATGTTTATAGCTTTTCTATCCCTATTACCCAAAGGTCCCCCCATTTTTTATATATATATATCTAATAAACGGCTTCCAAACTTTATGAAAATTTTCTTCTGATTTTTTTTTGTAACATTTGTGTTAATTTATCATTTTCCATTAATTCATATAATTTCCAGATCCATACATCAATATCTGGGATCTTCTTTTGTTTCCACATTGCAGAATAAACTAATCTAGCTGCCGCTAACATATAAAAGAGAAGTCTGCCATATTGATTTTCCAACTTGTCATCTTCAATTATATTCAATAAATATATACTCGGATCTTTTGATACTGACTGATCTAATACCTTTTCGATTTCTACATGTATCTTCCCCCAAAATGTATAGTCCAGTTCTGAGAACATGTTCTGAGACAGTAACTGGAAGAAAGTCCTCCCAAGCACCTGAATTGAGAACAGCTACATCTTGACAGAATGAACACTTGTGACAAACAACCCATCATTTCCCCCCTCTTTTATGATTTTTAACACCTTTTCCTGATGAATAATCCAGTGGAGCTTTGAATGCTTTGTGCATTTTGGTTTGCTCCATAAAGGTATCACTGTTTTGTGGATTTTGGATGTTATTGTAGTCCCTCCCACACTGTTTTGTGGATTTTGGATGTTATTCTCTCCCTCTGTTCCTTGAATCTCAGTCTGCCCAGTTTCATGCAGCCAGTTCTCAGAATGTTTTTACTACATTGATAATTCAGTTTTTACTTCTTCCCTCCTCCACTGTTGATTATTCTTCTGACTGCTATAAAAGATATTTATATTTTAATTATTATTGGGACTCAGCTTTACACGATCCCAGCAAAACGGCTTTACATGATTCCACTCTCATCAACAGCTGCAGAGAAGAGATTGTAGGAAAATTCAGAAAATGCCCTTCGCCACACACCTGATTTATTTGTATTGGGTATCAAAATATTGATCTCCCAGCCTTTATCATGGGATCTTAGGCCATCACCAACATACAACAATATAAAGAATTTAAAACAACTCTAGATTTTTTAAAAAAACTAGTTTGAACAAGATAAAAAGATAGTGAGCAAGTCAACAAGTTAAAAGCAGTTGAAAAGGCTACAACAGTTTAAAGCCATTGACATGAACCATTTTATAGTAAATTAGTCTCCAAAGGTTTTAATTTTTTTTTTAAAAAAATATGTTTTGTCTTGGTGCCAGAAAGAAACCAAGATTGGAACCATTTGATCCTACAAGGGAAGATAATTTTAGAATTGCGGTGCCAAAGCCAAGAAGGCCCTTTTCCATGACCTCCTATATGCACATTGGGATGCAAAAAGAACCTCCACACATGCACAACAAATTTTAGGTATATGCAGAGGAGACAAGTGTGTTCATTTACATAAACTAGGGATGGAATTATTACTAGGCTTATTCTTGAAGGTAGCAACCAGTAATTTCAGCAATTTTCTTCTCACTACCAGAAAGCCTTCAAAAACCATTGTTGTTATTGTAGTTGTTTTGTGTCTTCAAGTCATTTCTGATGTATGGGGACCCTCAGGTGAACCTATCATGGGTTTTTCCTGGCAAGATTTGTTCAGAGGAGGTTTGCCATTGCCTTCTCCTGAGGTTGAGAGCATGTGACTTGCCCAAGGTCAACCAGTGGGTTTCATAAATGAGCGGGGAATCGAACCCTGGTCTCCAGAGTTGTAGTCCAGCACTCAAACCACTGTGCCATGCTGGTGCTGTACAAAAATCATACAGTTTCCAAAACCTATTTGCAATTTGGGTCTTATTCTCTGCAAATTTTGCATGTGGTTGCTTTGTGTAGGAAACAGCACTTTATGTACCAAAGACAATATTTTGATTCAGAAATATTCATTCCTATGCAGAAAATGTTGTTTCCTGCATCAAAAATACTGAACACTAAGAATGACTTAGGGAACTGGGGATGTTTAGCCTGGAGAAGAGAAGGTTAAAAGGTGATATGATAGCCTTGTTTAAATATTTAAAAGGATGTCATATTGAGGAGGGAACAAGCTTGTTTTCTGCTGCTCCAGAGACTAGGACCCGGAACAATGGATGCAAGCTCCAGGAAAAGAGATTCCACCTCAACATTAGGAGGAACTTCCTGACAGTAAGGGCGGTTCGAGAGTGGAACACATTTGTCCCTCGGAGAGTAGTGGAGTCTCCTTCCTTGGAGGTCTTTAAGCAGAGGCTGGATGGCCATCTGTCGGGGATGCTTTGATTGGGAGTTCCTGCATGGCAAGGGGTTGGACTGGATGGCCCTTGTGGTCTCTTCCAACTCTATGATTCTATGATTCTATGATTCTATGAATGCAAAGCAATCGTCTGCAAATTTTGCATGGAATAAATCCCTAATTACAGCATTTTTGTGTGCTAAAAACCCAGCATTTTCTGTGCAGGAAGTAATAATATTGCATTGAAGTATTATTTTTCAAGTAGAAAAAAAAGCTACTTGAAAAAAAAAAAGCTTCTTGTGCAGATAATGTTATTTTCTGCACAAAACAATCACATGTTAATTTTGAGCAGAATAAGTCCCAAATTGTGAAGATTCACACTTGTCCAGGATTCTTCTTATTAGGGTTTCTCAGCACTAAAAACAACAACATGGTTTTCAAAATTTTTGTTGGAGTATACTTTTGGAATATTCTTTCCATCCTTAACAGAAGCATGCAAAAAGGATGTGTGGAATTCCTGGCAGAATCCCAAATGCTAGTTATGATCTTTAAAGTCCTATATGGCTCCAGTCAGGGCTATGTAGAATAATATAATCATAGAGTTGGAAGAGACCACAAGGACCATCCACCTCAATCTCCTGCCATGCAGGAACTCACAATCAGAGCATTCCTGGCAGATGTGAAAGATCACGGCTGGAATTCTGTTAGGGACATGCACATATCTACTTATCCCTTATATCTGCGGATGTTCTTTTGGGGTGGGCATTAAGGGGTTGGTATTGCCTTTCTCCCTCTGCAGTCCCCAGAGCCTCCTCCAACTTACTGTAAAGCCCCTGAAGCCACTCCACACAGCCATTCTGTCCTTCTTGTCAAGCGAGCATTGTCAAAGAAACATCTAACTACTTGACTATTTGTTGTTGTTAACCGCTGTTAAGTCAACTTTGACTTATGGTAACTCCTTGAATAAGGAACCTCAAAGTCACCCCATTAACTCAGATCTTGCAGACTCAAGACCACAGCTTCCTTGGCTCAGTCTATCCATCTGTAATGCTGTCTTCTTCTTTCTACTGCCTTCTGTCTTCCCAAGTGGAATTGTCTTTTCTAGTGCATCATGTCTTCTGATATGGCCAAAGTATGTTTCATCATCTTGGCTTTTAGGGAGAATTCAGACATGATTTATTCTAGGATCCATTTATTGGACTTTTTAGCAGTCCACGGTACCAGTAGAACTCCGCTCCAGCACCACAACTGAGTCACAATAATGGCATCCGTGTTGAGATCCATGGGGGTCATCCGGGGGGGGTGTGTGTCTCAATGCATCTGTAATCATTGTGTGTCCAGATATAAGTTATAGATAGGTAGCCAGATGCTTCTCTGATCCTGCCTGCTTGCTGAGAAGCAGAGAATGGCATTGGGGACAACTTTAAGGGCTTTAAAGTAAGTAGGACAGAGGGTATATGGCTTAGCATAGTGATGGTTCACATGTGGACATTTATGCTACACTGAGGAGATCTTCGACTGAGGCCCACATTTTACTGTATGAACCTGGACAAGTATTAAGATCTTCAGATTAGGGCTTTCTCTCAGTCCCAGCGCCATCAGAGACACTTTTGGTGAGGCTGCTCCTGCTTTGCGGAACTCCCTTCCACAAGATGTGTGTTTGCCCTCCTCTCTTCTCTTTCTGACAGCAAGGAAATACCATTTTATTTAGGCAGGCCTTTGATTCTTGATGCATCATAGCAGGAAGGTTTTTTTTTTTTAAAATATAAGGGTGTGCTTTTACATTTCTAAAATTTGTTTTAAATGTGTTTTAAACTGTTCCAGTCTTGCGCTTTGAATATAATTATTTGTGTGTGTGGTTTTTTTTAAAGAAAACCCTCTTTGTACAATAAGATTTTAGCCATATTTTGTTTTAATTTCAGGAAAGCCATTGGGAGTCCTGTGCTGGCAGAAAGGCAGGGTATAACTGAAGTGTGAGGAAATAAAGAAATGTAGAATAGAAAGGGAAATTCAAACACCAACAAATCCAAGGGAGGAGGGAACTGCCATGACCTTGGATTGTCTTACCCATAAATTTCCACAATTGTTTATGAAATACACATATTTACAACATAATGATGGGCATAGATTTTGCCCTGATGCTGTTTCAGGGGGCTGGGCTCTAATGGATAATGTAAAAATGAGATTCTGATGGGAATGCTACATAGAAACCATGTAATATTGATCTTACAGAAATTGCACTGGGGATGCCAATATACTTCTGTTCCAAATTCACAGTGTTGGCATTACATTCAAAGTCATAAACCTAAAGGAATGTCTTTCCCTATATACACTTGCTTGAGCACTGAGGGCTTCTGGAGGGACCTGCATCTGTCTCCTATCAATGGGACCATGGGAAGACATATTGGAGGGCCTTCCTTGCAGTGATGCCCTGTTTGTGGAAAGCCCTTCTCTTCAAGGCCCACTTGGAACCAATGATGGTTTCATTGTGACATCAAGTTAAAACATGAGCCAGAACCTTGTTAGTCCCACCTATTGTAGGTCCATTAAATGATTGGGATTGGCCTTCATATTAGCTCACCAGTTAACAGTTGATCCATTGGATCTACTCAAGTTCAGACTATAAAAACAGGATTTAAGCCATGGCTTTTTATTAGAACCCTTGGAGCTTAACTGATTTCCAAGATTGATGTGTTATTGTTGTAATGTCCTGTCAAGTCTATTATGACTTACAGTGACCTTATAAATGATAGACCAGGGGTAGGCAACCTTTTTAAGCCGTGGGCCGGGTTGCTGTCCCTCAAGACAGTTGGGGGGCCGAAGCACCACAAACAAACAAACAAACAAATAAATAAATAATTTTTTTAAAAAAATTAAAAAATATGCATGCACACACTCTAAGCCCCGGAAAAGCCATAGCAAAAACCCTGTGGAGATTTTGCCAAGAAAACCCCAAGAACAAGTAATAACAACAATAATCAATATCATCATGGCGGGCGGCGGCGGCGGCGGCAGGACCAGCCTGGGGCCGGTCCAAAGGCCTCACTGGGCCGCATCCGGCCCCCGGGCCTTAGGTTGCCTACCCCTGTGATAGACCTTCAAAAGCCTTGTTCATCAACAGTCCTGCTTACATCTTTTGGGCTTAAGGTTTCTTTTACTAAATTAATCAATTAAAATGTGGCCTTTCTTTTTCTCTTTTCCTAATGTTTCCCACTTTACTGAGCATTTGAGTCATTTGCAATGAGCCCTGTCATTTCATAATGTGTCCAAAATATGATAGCATCATTTTTCCTACACCAGTTTCTGAGACATTGGCTCTCATCTTTTCAGGGGTGTAAACATAACTGGGAAATTGTTTTACTTTGTTGGTCAAAGTTGATGGAAGAATTTATTGTCTTCCAGAAGGATATTGACAAGCTGGAACATGTTCCAAGGAGGGCAACCCAAAATGGTGAAAGGTGTGGAAGCCATGTCCTATGATGAGTGGCTTAGGGAGCTGGGTTTGTTTAGCCTGGAAAAAGAAAGGTTAAGAGGTGATATGATAGTCATGTTTAAATATTTGAAAGGTGGTCCTATTGAAGATGGAGCAAGTTTGTTTTCTGCAGCTTCAGAGTCTTGGACACAGAGGATGGATGCATACTACAGGAAAAGAGATTCCACATAAATATTAGGAAGACCTTCCTGATTTTAACAGCAGTTTGATAGTAGAATATGCACCCTTGGAGTGTGATGGCATCTTCTTCTTTGGAGGTTTTTAAACAGAAGTTGGATGGCTATCTGTCTGGACTGCTTTGAGTGTGTCTTCCTGCATGGCAGAATGGGGTTGAAATGCATGGTCCTGGATGACATTCAAATTACAGGATGTGGAAGTATCACTTTAAAAGATAATTAGTTGCCTAAAACTCTCTATAGTAATTATATCTATTATAGAACAGCATTCCAGAGTCTAACAGGAGATTGGCAAACCCAGTTCTCAAGGTGATGCTTTGTAACATCAAATGCAAAAGCAAGACTTTGATGCCTTTTTCCCTGTAAGGTCATGGTCTTAGACATGGAATATGTGTGTGTGTGGTCTACCTTTTCCATCAATGAAAACTATTCCTCAAAACCCCTTGTCATAAAGGTAGATCTTATGACTCCAGCACCACCACTTTCTTTTCTCTCTATATTTTTATAAAACAAAACTTTGGGCCTCGGCAGACGGCTAATAGAGCCGTCTTCCGGGCCCAGAAGAGGAGGGGCAGCCGCACGAGTGGCGCCCCTTCCTCTTCCTGAGGTCGCCCTCGGAGTTGCTGGCCCTCCGCACGGCTGGCGCTCCGGGGATGACCTCACGCCACGGCGACTGGACGCGCTGCGGCGTTTGAGTCAGGGAAAGTGCACCCGCCACTTTTAGGGCGCACTTTCCCTGAAATCTAAAAGGAGTGCCAATTTGGAGCTCCTTTTAGATTCGCCGCAGGAGCGCCGCGGTGCGGAGGCTGAGCTCCGCCGGTGCTCCGACCCGCGGCGTCTCCGGGGCCTCCGTCTGCCGAGGCCCTTTTTAAAT